TTAGCACCATTCGATTCAGCGTCGTCGAATTACCATTATATCAAATTTYAACAAGGCCGCTAAATTTTCCAAGTTCTCCTTTTGTTGCCTGGACTAAAAGGAAAAGGAAAAGAAGAAGAAGAAGAAAGAAAGAAAGAAAAAAAAAGGGGATGATAAAGAAAATAAAAACGATAAAAAGAAGAAAAAGACAAGGGGGGAGGAGGAGGAGGTAGAAGAAAGAGGAAAAAATAAAAAATGAGATGGTAGATAAATAAATAAAGTAAAAAAAGATAATGATAAGGATTTTCGAAATGAAAAAAGAAAGATTGTAAGAAAAAAAAGGACATTTTTGTGATAATATGCGATTTATCGGTAGAACCAAGGTTACTCTCCTCACCCTTATACCAACCACCCTATCCCACCCCATTAAATAGAAAGAAAGAAAGAAAGAAAGAAAGGGAAGTGAAACTTTTGTGGATAATATCTTTGGGAATATATATTCACCATGTAAAGAAGACACATCGGCGCCAAACGTTTAGTATTCTTGAGAGTTGCAGTTAGCATCCGGTCAACCGGTCAACACTGCACCACTCCCTCCTCCCCTCCCTCCCCCTTCGCCATCACCCTACGTTACCCATAAACTTAAATACTTTTTCCGTTCGTCTCAATCGGTATTTAACTTTATCTTTTTTTTTTTTTCTTTTCTTTTTCAATCTCCCTCGTATACGAATAATATGCGTAGTTTTTTTTCTTTGGTTTTGTCATGTTTCTTTAAGTTAAATAAGGGACCTTGAACGAATGAAATAATTGCAAGGTAGAAGTAAAATATTATACTTATACATTTCTATATATAATGTACAGTCATCGATAATTTATCCACGTATGTATGTATGTATGTATGTATGTATTATTGGTTAATACGTTGAGTGACGTTGATCTATTTACTTTACTATATTTTATAATTGTTTTTTTGTTTTTATATATTCTCTTTCTTTTGATCGATTATTTGTAGTTTTGTTTTTGTAAAACACCGTAATAGCTGGATTTTCTGGTGTTTAAGTATATTGAAGAGAATTTTTTTTTCTTTCATTTCTTTCTCATTTGTATAAAAAAAAGAGTTAGGATAGTTATTAGATGATTATACGTATAGATTTATGTAAGATCGTTTTTCGCTCGTAAACGCGTCAAATCTTATTTTACACGAATGATTTATTTGATTTGTTCTTTTTTTTTTTTTTTTTCTTATAATATCGTTGCAATTTTTTCTCTTATAACATTTAACAAACTTGAGAATATTTCTATTGATAAGAATAACAATTTATAATGTATAAATGTAACATTGCAACGTATTCTCTAGTATTTCATTTGATATAACGCAAAACACAAAATACAATTTTGTATTATAGAAAATAATGTGCGATTCATTGGCAAAAAAAATTTGTGAATATTTCTCAAACACCTTTGTATACCTTATTTTAATTCGAATATAAATAACAATTATTAATTTGCAATTGATTATATATATATATATATATATATGATAAATTAATGATAAAAAAAAGAACTCGCGTTGAGAGAAAAATAAGATTATCGAAAAGTTTTATGATTGTTTTTAGTATGAGAAAAAAAAAGAGAGGAAAAAAAAAACCAGTAGTCGTCTATCTCGTTTAATCCTTTCCTTATCGATTATCGGCCAATGAGCCTTCAAGTTCGTCAGGGTCGATTCCTTCGAGACGAGAATGCGAGGTTAAACCGGATTCACTGATGGGTAATCGATTCCCGTAAGAAGGAATACGTCCTTCCTCGAATATGTAAGAAGAACGTGAACGAAACGTATTGTATTTAAAAGTCATAATTAAATCAATAAAAGAAAATCAATTTAAAAAAAAAATGATCATTTGTTCATTGATACGAATTCGTAAATTTTTCGAGTTGTCGTCATATTTGCAAATCGATCAGAAATAAATAACGAAGTGGATTAGTTAGTTTAATCCATGAAAAAATATGACAGAAGATTCTTTCTTCATTTTTTTTTTTATTCTTCTGTACTTTCAAAGAAATTCACTCAACCAAATTTCCTCCGCATGCCACCCCCCTACACCCACTTTTCTTTCTTCTTTCTTATATTTATGATTTATACTTTTATATTTGTACGACTTTGAAAGAGACCGCTTATTCTTTTTCTTTTTCTCTCTGTGTGTGTACGTATGTGTATGTTTAAGTAAATAAAAAATTTGGACGGTCTCACACGATAGAAAGAAAGAAAGAAAGAAAAAAAAAGAAAGAGAATATCTACCCAAGCTTTCGAATACTAAAAATATATCGTAGGTAATAAGAGCACACAAATATCGTATAAAATTATTAATATAATATATATTAATTATCAATATTCTTGTCCAAACAATATATTAATATATAAGTTTCAAAGGGAATTATAGACAGTTAATAAATCTGATGAACAATTTATTTTG